TATTTTGTAGATTATTCTAGTGAAGGACTATAAAGTGACATTTCTCAATGACTATTATTACATAATATTTTCTTTAGACATATGTCGTTCACTGAATACTGAATATTTACTTAAATGAAGGAACAAAATACAAAGCCTCTTTAAAAACTCTCCCACTTCTGTTGAGCTTTCTTGGGCTAATAATGGAAATATTCAATATGGAATATTCAAGTATTTATTCAAAATAAATTTAAATCTAGTAAGCTTTGTTGTCACTCTTCTCAGTATATTTTCGATTAAATTGAGAAAATTTTAAAAGCAGATTAAGTTTTTATCAACCCTTTTTATGTTAACAAAAAAAAAATGCCAGTACAAAATTAACGGTGTACTGTAGCATTTTTTACTCGTGCAAGGAAAAAAAAATGAGTAAGACCCGTTATCTGAATTGATCATATATGGTCACTACTCGCGTACAAATGGTGATTTGAGTTTATTTAATCAAAACAATGCTCTTTGCTTTTCTTGGGCATAGGCAAATTTTCTCTTGTTTGACTACAAATATTAAAGAGGACTAGTAACTTAGTGACAATCAATGAGTTATTTTTAATGAATGGGCTTTAAATTGAAATTGTGATAAAATTTCCGATAGAGATTGATAATTCATTTAAAATTTAAATTGTTTTCTTCACAGTGAAGTATTTTAAATCAGTTACTCATTAAGATGACACTGTATGCAATGGATGCAATCTTGTGAGGTCCCTAGCAAAACACGCGTTTATTTATATTACTTCCCAACTTTGAAGTTCGGTAATGGGACGCCCTAAGTGCAGTGCTCCTTTTATACGCACAGGATTTGTGGAAAGTATTTTAATTTCATTTGTCCTTATGACATGATTTTCTTTTTCTTTTTTTTAAATTTCAGCCCTAGAAAAATAAAAAAAGAAAGACTATGAAGTTTCAAATGATAATCTGAATCCTGATTTTAAATGGCAATGGTTACAACACAACCCGTTAAAAAATTAACGAACAAAAATTGAATGAGACATTTCAATAGTGTTTTGAAACGGGACGTCATTTTAAAGTGCTTCTTATTCATATCTGACTACTACTGTCTGTGAGTGTGTGCCAAACAGGCACATGCTAGTTTTCTTAATTAATAGGATGACCTCGTAGGATCGACTCGAAAATGTTTACCGAAGAAGGGAGAGAGAAAATAGAAGCCTGGAATGAGCGTGATGATGATGTCAGTTGCATTGCCGTACAACAACAGCGACCGGGCCCTGCGTGCACAACACAAGAAGTGAAAAAGACGAAGAAAACTGCCATTGATCGGCTGGGTCGGTCGATTGGACTTGTCCCGAACTGGAAGAGGACGAGAAGGAGGAGGAAGTAAAATCCGTTATCCGGGGGTGAAGAAGAGTAATGGGGGAGTCATGTTGCTACTGCTTCTACTGCAACTTTAAAACTATTATTAATACTACTGTTGCCGGCATAGCTCATTGGTTGAATTAGAGACCGTAAGGTCTATGTTTCATTTACTTCTCAAAGTACCGGGTTCAAAATTATAAAAATGAAAAAATACTTTCCACACGATCATAGTACAACTTGCAAGTAACGAATAGAGTTTTTAACTTAGAAGTGTAAAAAACCATTACATTGCAACAACTCAAGAGAAAAATGAAGGCTTTTTGTGTTTCAATAACGATCCTTAGCGTTGTTTGCCTAATTCATTAGTAAATGGTGAAAGAAATTGATTAGACTTACTACATCAAATTCAAACCTGAGTACACCCTAAACCCAAAATGATCGGACAACGAAAAGAAATTAAAACTTTTCGTAACTTATATAGTTCAGGGTAAAATCAGGCCACAGGGTTTTTTTTTGGTTTTTTTTAAAAAAAAAAAAAAAAAAAAAAAAAAGCGACTTTTATTTGTTGCCAGTAATAGTTATTACACTCGCCTAGGAAAATAAAAGGCATGAAGGAAAAAAATCTATAATTATTTAATGCTTCTCTCAATAATACGAGTAAAATCGTTTTTTTTTATTTTGAATGATTTTTAAGTAAAGTCGGTCATTTTTTAATCTACTCCTGGCCACTTCCTGTCCCCAACCCTGCACATACTTTATTTTTCACAAATTGCTTACTGTTAGTGTTGTGGGTACACAACACAGTAGTTCAGTAAACATATTTGCGTATGGCCTTACTTTTCAATTTCTTTGCCAATAATCTCAAAATATTAGAAAAAATTTAAATAAAATCTATTTGTACTATGAGATTTGGTAAAAACAAATCGCCCTCTAACATTATCGCAGTGCGGTGCGATCATTTCTATTCTTTGCCTTCATCATCACCGTCTTCCTACAACTACTTTATGTTAATGATAGTGATGATGCTGACGATGGGAATCGTGTTGTGACGGCGACACCCATCACATTTTTCTGTGCATTTTTAACAACACAGTAGATGATGATATCGGCATAAACAGAGTTAAAAAGACCAAAACAGACTTACTGGTAAGGTAGACTCGACATCAACATCAACAGTACTTAACTGTTAAACGTAGTACAAGTACTTACTGCACATATTGCCATTTTTACCTTCCACGATAATGCATCATCATTTATATCACCACATAATAACTATTATTGCTACTCTTCAATTGCACTTAAAACGTATTTTCGATATAAATAACAAATCAAAACACTTATTTTGAAATCAGTCCGTCCCGTTTAGAACTAACAAAAATGAAAAAAAGTCTTCTATCTTGTTCTGATTTTTTAAAACTAAATTCTATCATTTGCAAATCATAAAAATTTAAGTTCTTTAAGGTACTGAGTTGTTAATGTTGTTTGTATAAAAATCATTCAGACGAAGATGTAAAGTTCCAAATTTAAACGATATTTGTTCAATGTTGTGTATGGTAAAAATTGTGTACTTTAATCAGTAAATAAATTGTAGTCATCATTTGTAAAACTTGATCTGATATGAAGTAAAAATGACGTGCGAGATCTAAACAAAAGACATGTAATGTTCGTACAATTTACAAAATAAATTGACTAATTCATGAATTAAATTCAACAAGCATCATGATTAGTGGATCTTCTGCAAGGATCGCAGAGTCAACCACGTGGCCAACTGCAAATGCAGATCCATGTGTGCATTTATTTTGTGTTATGAAAATGGTCAGTGAGAGAAAGGGAGGATGACAAGGAAAATGCGAAAATTTAAACTGTATCATTCATAAAAAAGAAAAACAATTTTAGAGGTTATAAGGCAATTTAAGAAATATTTTTAAGTAATAATTTATAAGTAAAAAAAAAAAAGATTTTAGAGTAGGCAGTAGAGAAATATTATAACACATGCGCAGAGAAAATAAGAGTGAATGATTAGACATTTAGTAGTGAAGGTGGTTGACGTCACCACTTAAAGTACTAACCATCAACTCTAAGTGTCACTACTTACTTTTGTGCTACTAAGACCTGAAATCTTGCCGGCCTGCATGGGGCACAAGGCTATTTAGTGTCCTTAGGGCAACGACTCCCTTCCATTGAGATTTAAAAAAAAAAAAAAAAAAAATCCTAAAATATTAATACTACTACCACTGCAATATCAGAACGTACCTACCTACAAACAAAAAGTAAGAAGCTACCTTTAGCATTTCCTACCAAAAATCAAGCCTGCTTAAAAAAAAAATCTTCATTGTTATTTCATTTGTTTAAGGTTTTATTTAATTGTAGATTAATGAAGGGTAAACTTCTCTGCTTATTTTTAGTTGCCAGTGGAAATTTACAATTTCATACTTTTCTATCCTCCAAACTTGCACGTTTTTCAGTGCTTGTTTACTTGCTATGCGTACGTCTCTAACTTTTTTACCATATCTATATGCAACAGTCTACATATTTCCAAGCCACCACGTGTCATAATATATCATGAAAACATACGTAAAGTGTTGTAAGCTAATTCGACATTATCCCCCTCCTCTCATCAGATCACCATGCACATAATCCATTTCACTTTCGGTATCCTTCTCCCTCCAACCTCCAGGATTCCCACTCTTCTTCTGAATCATGTTTGCTTTTCTTTCCTACCGTTGTCTTTTACATATTTCACCTGTACTAAGTTTGAATATAACCTCTCCTACAACCAACGTATCACGTGCTTGCGATGTTTTAGAAAATTAACTTTGCTTTTTACGCGCTTTTTTTTAATATTTTGACAAAATCACTTAAAAAAAAAAAAAAAAAAAAGTTTTCTTTTGACTATTTCCTTTTCTTTCTATCGCCTGTTCTTTAAGCAAATTCTTTTCAAAACTGAAAAAGATCTTTAACAAGCATTGAAAAATTATTTTTAGTGTTGTTTGATACCTCTTCTTGACTGTCTTTCCATCTTTTGTGCAATGAATATCTTTTCTGTTGAATTTTTCAACTGATGAGAGTTTGGACATCCTTAATTATTATTATTTTTTAATAGTTATTGTACTTCTATCTATAATTAATAATAATAATAATAATACCTAAGATGGGGAGGAGTGTGGGTATTCTTGTTATTTCTGTTTCAAAGTCAAACGAAGGCAGAAGACGCTAATTCTACCCCTACTTAAAATCTATGTACGAATGTGGGTGAGAAAGCTGAGGGCGGGGAAGGAGAATATAAAAAGGAGCTGTGTCACGTGATATAGCCTCCTACCCAAAACGCACTTTCTTAACCGTTATTAAATATAATTTCTTACTAGTTTTTCTTTTTTTTTAAGTAAACAGTCAATTACTTTTAATTCATATCATATGCAGTATCAGTAATTTAGCTCAAACATTTCATGCTCTAGTCTTAAAAAAAGAAAGTTAAAAAAAGATTTTCTTTTAGCAAGTAAATCATTTGTTTTTACTTGTTCTCTCCCTTTCTGATCTCTTCCCGAATAGCGCTCTCCCTCGCTTTAACAACGTGCGGCAACCGGGTGTCGAGAGTAGCAATTCTTGCATACTGAGTTGCTGGCATTGTACACTGTAAGCATTAGATATTGAAAATGGCGACCTATGAGGGTCATGTAGCGAAGCGTCAAAAAACTGAAAATAATGGATATGGAATGAACCAAGGAGGAAAAGTAAGTCATGTTAGTTTTCTACTAGAAACACGTTTCGTTGTTAGGAACGGTAATGTTGTTATGTAGTTGAAAGAATTTCTACTTTAAATTGAAATCTGGGTTTTTGCCGGTTTGCGGCTCATGATCGTCATTATGGACTCTTTATTTAAGCAGACATGCTTGTGTGTGTGTAGATTGTTTTTTCTTCTTTTTTTTTCTGCATTTGTCTTTTCTTTTGGTAAATGAGGTTTTAGGCGTTTTCTGGAGTTTCTTTGTTGTTAGTATATTAAAAACGCGTTTGATTACATTTTGTTTTGGAAATTGATTTATTCAGTTTTTCATTTCCGTTGTCTGTGGAGTTAGCACGATGGATGATGGCTGCACTTCAGTCAGTTAGTTCCCTGCAGATATAAAATATGGAGCAAACTGTCTCCACTCCAATCTTTTATATTTTATACATAAACGTCTGTTATGCTACAAACATCCATATATAGTATACACTTAGTTGACGGCTGGGAGTCGCTTTAAATTTCATCTCTTCATCGCCTTTTTTTCCTCTTTTATTTTTATTTTTTAACAGAACAAAGACTTAAATCCTTTCTGTTCTTAATAGAATACCATTATTTAGAGAAAATGTATCTTAAAGCTATATTATTCTGCTTTATAAACACCTCGGTGTCGTCATTAAAAAAAAACTGTTTTTCATTTTCAGTATCCTTAATTCTCTGAAATATTTCTCAAAATAGAAATTTGTACACTACGTTATCTCACGCACTTAAACTTCAAGTGTAAAAATGTCAGTTGGAGGAGAAAAAAACATCACAAAGCAGTAATTAATGAATCCCTCACGTTATTGATTGAATGTGTCGTTACATTTTATTTTTTAAGTACATCATCAGTAAAGCTAATATCATTTTCAATTTCTTTTATTATACTTTTTTTTACCGACCCCTCTTTTCTTTTTTTTTTTATTTGTACCTTAAATCAAAAGTGAAATTTAAAAATTTGAAGATTTCCTCGGTCTAGTTCTTATTTACGTTAAATCGAGTTGTTAAAACTGTTAAAAAAATTAAATTCTTTTTGCAAAGACTTGTTTTTTTTTTTATTCAAATGAAAAATCTTCATCAGCGTTTGAACCTTGCAAAAAGGCGCTCAAAGTTTAAATACCTGGAGCTGTAACCATATTTTTCCCCTTTTTATCTTCTAATTCTCTTTAGTTTTTATCTAACTCGTCAACCAAAGGATAACTAATAATTTTGCATGTTTTGTTTCATTGGTATTTTAAATTTGGGCTCGATGTGTATTGCATGTTTTAATAGTTGTTGATTAAATTGAAAATGAATATTAGTAAGGTTGATTGCAACAGGACACTACACGTGTTTTTTGTTTTTTTGTTTTTCCTTATTGGATAAGTTAGAGTGCATAAGTAATCTTTAGATTTTTAAATAAAATAGTAATGTCCTAGTCATATATTTTATATTCTGTGAACAGTAACACCTAATTTAATATATTTCAATATTAAGTAAATCTAGCTAGACAGTAAAATTAAATTTAATAATTTAACTCCGGAGACTCCTATCCCTTTTTGATTTTCATAAGCAACAGCAAGTTGTATATTGAACTTTAAGTGTGGGGAAAAATTTTTAAATATTAGAATCTTCACGTCTTAATTTCTCTTGATATAGTTTTGTAATTCAACTAATCATGCAACTATATGATTTCATTAGAAAAAATATATTTTGTTTCTTAAATTGCAAGAGGCTATCCATCTATTCTTTTTAGCCACACGTCTTGTGCGCTACACACACACATTGATTTATGGACATGGATCTCTTCTTGCTGCTACTGTTGCTAATGCTCTCACTTGTCGGCCTATTTTTAGTGAACGAACTAGAATCGAACTGTTCGATTAACAACGTTGACGATTAATAGTTTTAAAAGAAAGCATTAGAACACGAAATAATTTTTGCATTGTTTGTTTTCACTCTCAATTAAAAAATCAGGCTCAAAATAGAAACTCTTCTTCTTAATCGTTACGTTTTGCTTGTCTTTTGAAAGAAAACCTTTTTAATTTCTGCAAATTAATCTTTTTATCTAAAACACGGTGCAAATATTAAGCATGCAATATGAACAATGAGATTAGTTGCTGATATGAAATAAAGCAATTGTGATGACATTCATCGTTGCTTATTGACACGCCTTTCTTCATTTTTGAACTGTTTAAGTTTCTTTAGTCCCAAAGAATAACTATTTGTTAATCAATCCGCATCATTGAGAATATTCTTCATAGTATCGCTATTATTTATTCAGTAATAAAATACTTGTAGCAATAATTAAAGATTATGCACGGTGCGTAATTACAAACTAAATTATTCAGCATTACCGACCATTCATTATTTGATGATTTTGTTTTTCTTGGTATGAGAATTAATAGTCGTTATTTATCTTTTTAAATGTTTAGAAATGAGTAATGAAGATGCGCTTTTTTTCCCATTAAATCATAATGGAAAATAATGTATCAAAAAAAGCCTAGATTGTTGAATCCTACAAACTAGAGTAAAAACTCAGTGGGTCTTCAGTGAAACTATTCAACGATAGTTGTAAATAAATTTGCGTACACAAGTACTGACCTTTTTTTTTTTTTTTTTTAGCCACTACAGCATTCTTCTCTTGCTCAACGACAGTCATCAACCACCAACTTTACTCCATCTTATTCTTAATATTTAATCGTTTTGCATGACTAGCAACAAAACTGCTCAAAGAAACATTATTTTCCATCCCTCATCTGCAAGTTATCTTTTTTCTTTTCTTTTTATCAGTTCGATTTCATTTAAATTTAAAAAAATACCTTTAAGAGGTATATACCTGACTGTCGATGTTCTCGACTTTTAAAACCTTTGCGTTTAAAAGGTTATTTTAATCAACTGTAAAAATAATTCTTTGTCGAATACAAAGAATTTTTTTACAGATTTATTTAAACTGACTGGCACCATCATTCCTTGTATGTTAGGTATTTATGAAAAAAACTTTGAACAAAAAAGGTGGTTTTTATTGATTCAAATAAAATGGTGGCACTGTCGATATCGCAAAGTATCGTGAAGATGCTTTTCTTTTGAATGTGTCATAAATGTAACTTGTGAATGAGTTTATATTTTGATTATAAAGTTTTTTTTGTTATCAATACTTTTATTTAGACGGGCATGTTTAAATACTTTGCATTGGGGATTGAAAGCTGATCATAATTTGATTTCGCTTTTTTGTTTCTTTTTCTCCTTGTTATCAACCTAGTTAAGAATATTTTGCAAGCCTTATTTTAAAAATGTATTGGTTTTCGCTTCCTGTTAATGCAGTTTGTATTTGTATAAATAATTTTTTTTTTTTTTTTTTTTAGATTTTAAATTTTTCCTAAAACCATTACAAATTATTTTTTGATAACGTTGTACTTTTTTTTTTTTTTTCTTTTAATCTCTATTTGTGCATCTAATTTGCGCATGCATAGTTCTTTTATTTTAATTTAAGAGCTTTATTTTGTCTACTTTTTAAATATTGTGTGGAGCTTCTGATATTATTGGTATTTTATATCTAGGATTTTTTTCTGCTAAAACCATCTCATTAATTTCATAGGATTTTTTTTTTTTTTTTTTAAGTATTAATCAAATTGCAGAAGCTCGCTCATAAAAACGAAACCGAGCACACTTAACCACTTGGCCTCCCTGGTCTTTCAGTGGATGCTTAATCAATATTGTTGTTTTTATCAGTCTACTTAGGTGAATTGTGAATATACAATTCAAAATTCGGATGTTGTGAAAAACTATTTTGCCAAATGCATGTTCATAGAATTATCTTGATAGGCAATTTTGAAGAAAGTTGATAGGGAAATATTTGAAAAATTTCCCCCAAATTATGGAAACTGTAAAAATTGTCGGAACAAATGCAAATTACTACTACTGATATTGAACTCTTATGAAATAGTAAATTATTCATTCAAAACTGCTAAATTTGAATGGATGATCATACGTATTAAATGTATAAATCTCTAAATTATTACTAATAATAAGTAACTTAGAGATTTAATTTTGAAGTAATTCTTTTATATAAAACTTGCTCAACATTAACAGTTGTTAAATTTGTTTATTTTTTAATTCCTTTCATTTTAAAATTTCCATTGAACTGTAAGGGATTATACAATGTTAATGACATTCTATTTTTCCTTATTTCTTAAAATTCAATAGTAATTTAATGCTAAGGATATATTATTTTAAAAAAAAATTTTGGAGTTATCCAATATTTACAAAATTGTATATTACACTAAGAAGTGTATCTACATTAAAAAAAAATTTATAGTTAAAATGTCCGATTTTAATTCTTCATTTAAATATAAACACAAATTAATATTTAATTAAGGTAGCATTAGCAGACATTTTGTAAATATTCTAAATTGATGTCATCTATCTAGTTGTAAGATACAGCTATAATAGTATGATTTTTCTTCCATTTATATTTCTGAATATGAGTTTTTATGTCTCTTCATTAGCATGTTTCCATGAAGTTTGTCAGGTTTGAGATACAATTGAATTTTTCTTTATATCCAATATTTCTGATAAATGTTTTTTAATTTTCTTTTACTTAATCTACTTTGTGTGGGTGTGTTTTCCTTCATGGGGGGATGATTTGCTGTAAGGTTGAGGAACCTACAGTAAGCCTTTAAAACAATTTTACAATTGATACAACTGAAATTTTAAAATTCTAACTCGATCCTAAAATGGTGTGTTTTCATTTTAGGTAATATCTTAAAATGTTTAACATTGCTGCTTTTTATATATATATATATATATATATATATAGTGTGTGTAAAACCCCTTGAAGGTGGGTGATGCTCAATTTCGCTGATGTTAGGACTTAATAGAACTAGCACTTTGAATATTAAATCTGTTCATTTCTCAGAATTATTTTAAATTGTAAAAAAGTAAATAATTTTTCATTAAGGTACTCATTGTTTACATAGTCATTGTTCCTTTCATCAGATAAAAATCATTTCTATTTTTCTCAGCATTATCTTCTAAATATGGTTCCATCAGTACAGAATTAACATTACAAAAATGCTTTGTTGGTCCACAGATCTTATCAAAAGTTTAGTTTTTTTGTTGTACGAAATTTTAGTGGCTTCATTTCTGCAAATATTTGGTGTATTGTAGAACCTATATCAGTCTTTAATAACAAAGATACCTGGGTGATATTTGTTACATCATTAGTAGTTTGAATAGAATGATACAGATTTGGATTAGAAGTGTACCTAAAATCAAGCTTATTGAAAATTTTTAACCAGTATGTTGAATGAAAATGCTTTTCATTCAATTGGAGCTTTATGAACACTAATGTTTTATGGAGTAAATAAATTTATAGCTGTTTTAAATGTTGTCAATTCTTTTTCTTAAGTTTTAATTGGTATGAGATAATAGTCTTTTATAATATTTTTCACACTTCAAAAGCTATACTGCCCTTTTTCGCAGTAACATTTGATTGAAAATGCACTGAATTACTATTAAAGTTAAATAAGGCTGTAGATTTCGGAGATGTCTGGAAATGTGGTGTTTGTGTTTTAGTATTTCTATCTAGATATATAGTAATTAACTCCTTGCCAAAATTCAACATGCTTTTAGAAAAGGAAAGGGATAAGCGAGCCAGTTAAAAGATGGTCTACAGCTTTTTAATTTTTTAAGGCAAATTTAAATTTATGCTCTAAAAAAAAAGTTTTGCTTGACATTAAACAAAATGCATCATGGTTTTTATAGGACAAATTGATGGAGGATCCACATAAACCCTCACCTTCTCCTGTGGTGCATGTTCGAGGTCTTTCTGAGACAGTTGTTGAACAGGATTTAGTCGATACCCTACAAAACTTTGGATGTATTAGGTAAGTGTATAATTTCATTTTGTGCTGGACAAAATCAGTTAATATAAAAAAGGTTCTTTGAATTACTGATTTTACTTTCTATGAGAAGAGTATTAGCAGCTAATTTATCAGCTTCAAAAGAATAAGCACACATACAGTGACACTTGAGATTTTATAAGTTGAAAGTATGAATGAAACTTGTTTATCTCTCATGCTTGCTCTCATGGAATTAAAAAGATTGACAAATTTCATGCATAAAGTGTTCTGCACTTTCATCTTTCAAGAATAGATTAAAAGTTTTTCTTTTTTTTAACATTAACAGCTTTCAATAAAAAAAAAAATTAGGATATTTTTATTAAGGATAGTGACACTGCAAAATACTTGATAAAGAATTTTGAGTCACATTATTTTGTAAACTGTTGACAATTTTAAACTTTTCTTTTTTCTCCCATTATTTAATAGTATACATTTGGGTGTGGGGGTTAAATTGGACAGTTATTACTCAATACAATGTTTTTTTTTTTGTTTGTTTTTTTTTTTTTTTTTTTTTTTTTGTTTTTTTAGAGTAGCTAAAACACTGAGGCATATGTTAATTTTAATAAGGAAATATTAATCATGAAAGTTGAAAATCTTTAGAAACTTTTAAGCGTTTTAAATATAAAAATAATTAATAAGTTACTCTTTTGTTAACTTGGGATGCACCAGTTGAGGAACATTGACAAATAGGAAATAAATTTCCATTATTATTAGACGGACTGAAAATTTATGAAGGAATAGTTAGTTTAAATTTTATATGTGCTATTTTAGCTCTTATAAAACTTGTATTTGTCAAGCTAATCTTTTAATATATTGGTGTTGCTATGTCAGCATGACCTTTTTAAGATTTAAAAAGTTACTTCTATATGATACCAAATTTATCAATCAGTTCAAGCTTATAACTTAGATCTACTTATGGGGAAAATATTCTAAATCAATATTATATTCTAAAAATAGTTTTATGAAATTAAGAATACTTTCTGATTTGCTTCTTATATTAATGTTTTAGTATTTCCTTATTTATGAATCATGGATTTTATTTTTTTTTCTTCTCTCTGGGTAATTTTTAATTTTTAAAAATTCTCGTTTCAGTTACGTTATCATGATGCCAAAAAAAAGACAAGCTCTGGTTGAATTCGAGGTAAAACGGGGCCGCTTTTATAAACTTTATATATATATATATAAAACTAGATTGTGAGATCAGTACTTAATATTCATTACGTTATTCACTTAATGTAATTTTTTTTCTCTATATCATCAATAATTGTTATATGGCATTTCTACTGTTTAAAGTATAATTTTATTTGTTCTATTCAGCTAAAATTGTCATGGTAAAAGTAATTTAAAACTTCCATGTAGATTTTATTGTCAGGCTTATAAATTTTATTGCTTTCATTTTTTGCTAAGTTTTGTATTTCACATGTTTAGCTAATGTGGTGAATTTATAATACTTTTTATTCCCCTCTCAGGATATTAATGGAGCAACTGAATGTGTAAATTATGCTCAGACTAATCAGCTGTATGTTAGTGGTCATCCTGCTTTCTTTAATTTTTCTACCAGTCAGAAGATTCAAAGACCAGGGTGAGCTTCTTCGTTATTGTTGTATTTTTAAAATGTATTTTTATTTTGCTTTATATATGATGCATGTCAAATACTGGCAATTAGGGGGAAAAAATTATCTAATGCTTACAAAAAATGAAATTATCTTTGAATTAAGATTCTGCTAAATTGTAAAAATTATGTAATCACCTTAAAGCTTAGATCAAAGTATGATTTCAACATAGCCACAATTATCTGATTAATAAAAATAATTCCATTAGGGCACGTAGTGTTTCTTATTGTCTTGCACACTTTTTCTTTATTTTTACATTCAGAATGCTTTAAAAATTCCATTTACAAGACAATTGTTTATAATAAAATTCTATTCAATCGGTAGACTCATAACAATTGAAAACAATGTTTTTGTTTGAGTTTGGGTTTGACCAATTCATAAAAACTAATTGTCTGTCAACCTTAAACAATAATCTTTGTCAATTTTATTTTTCAGTCTTTATGATGGTCAATACTTGATCTATCTCTTACTGTTACATCCCCAGGCAATACCAGGCTCTACTGCTAGTCTTGTCTATTAGGCATATTTTCTGTTAGACGAGAAAATTTAGATTTCAGTCATAAATGATTATCATAGGGAACCTAAATTAACAAATAGGAGGTTGTGGGAATATAGGAAAATAGTAAATATAGACATTTATCATATAGCAAACACAGAAAAATGGATTTTAAGCTGCACATCAATTGGCCAAGTAATAACCAACATTTAATGGGAACTTTAAATTAAAAAAATCCCAGAAAAAACAAATAGATTCCATGAACATTTACAAATGACTTTTCACTCCAAAAAAATGTCCATCTGCTGACTACAGGAGTGATTACTTACCTGTTATATGCAAGCTAAAGGTATGATATCACATAAATGAATCCAAAAGCAATGCTTGAACTTCCATATGAAAATCTCTAGAGTGCCTCTGCTTCATTTACATACAATCATATGCAATCACAGTTAAGGACAAGTATGAAACTTATAACATCTTAAGGATAGAACATGGCAACAGCAAAATAAGTAATCTTGAGAAAAGCACTGGCTAATAAGTGAAAATTTCACCCTAATAAAGGTTGGCGATAACCCCAAGAAATGACACATTACATAAAACTAAACAAAATCATTAATGCATGTAATGAGCAATTAGTAATTGAAAACCTACAGAACATGGATGCAACATTACAGAAAGCTTGAAGAAAATATAAAAAAAATCATTACAAAATGGAATAATGTAATGGAGAAAGAAATGGTTCTGCAACAGTGGAATTGATTACATCATGACAGCAGAAAATAAAGTATATATAAAAGTAGGGACCTCTACCTGCAAAAAACATGATACCTAAATGTTTAAAAAAATGAATTCTTTCTTGAAGCTTTTTTTTTAGTTTTTAGCTAATAGATTAAATTTAATATTTCAAATAAGCAAAATACTTTGCTGTATTTCCAAACCTATTTTAATTCCCCCTCCCCAAATAACTGATTAGTGCCCTTTTTGTAGTTGTCTTTTGTCACAATATACTCCTCTTTATCAAAAAATCTAAAAATAAAATGTACTTTTTTGAAATTTTTATTTGAATAAAAGTATAAAATTTGAAACAAATATTTACATTAAGTTTAAAATACTGCAGAATTTTTTCACAACCTGTCAGAAGCTCTACAAAAACTCTGTAAATCTCAATTGAAGAAAATTGGCATGGTCCCCTGCACCTTTTTTATATATATATATATATATATATATATATATTGGTAATCTTAAATTTAGGAAAATATTCTCTGTAAGCTGATGTTTTATTGAATTTTAACAATGTTGGCTTTAAAGTTACTATAGTTATCACTCTTATTTTTTGATGTTGTGTATGTTCACCCGTACTTGAAAAAAAACTTTCACATGCACTTATAAAAAAAAAAAATTTAAATTCTTTTAAAAATATTGGTGTTTGATGATTTGTATTAAGCTTTTCCATTTATGATTAATAAATATAATTTTAATATCTAAAAGGTTGAAATTACAGGATTTTAAGAATTAAATGTTTCTAATTAAAATTTTTAAAAAATGGAAATTCTTGTAAAAATTCATTCTTTGAGGGGGGGACGATAAATTTTTTAAGACAATAATATCCTTAATATATTTTATTATAAAAGCAATTCAAACCTTTTCTAATTAAATAATGTTAGTTTTATTTCATTTTTTTATTTTACGATTCAGAACAGATTTTTGGTAAATGGTGTTTCTGTTTGGCAAAAACAAATTGATGATTTAAATTCTCCAATGAGTCTTGCTTTTAACTAATATAAATATGAACTAACTATAATTTTAATTTCTCAATTTCATAAAATTATGTTGGAAGTAACAGATGAAAAAAAGTTTCATTCATTTGTGAATAAGTCTTGAAAATTTCATTAAAATCCAGCAATTATTTGACTTTTGCAAGAATTCCCAAAATGTCTTTTAACACCACAAAAGACACTAAAATTTCCAATGCTAATCTTTGACTCACCTGCTGATACAAGAACAGGTTTTTTAACCAAAATTTTGAACATGCCAGAAGGATTTTAATAAAATAATCCAAAAATACTTTCCTCTTAATAAAAACAAACATTTTGATGGTAAAATATTTTTTTTATTATTTATTTATTTATTTATTATTTTTATTTTTTTTAATATATCAAGTTTGGGGCATTAATGTTACTGAAGTGGTAGGTGAAATTCCAGAGGATTTATGATTTTTATACTATTGCCAATTAAACTAGGCAATAAATAGAATTTTTAACAATTAGGCCAGAAATAAAGCAACAATGTAGTTTTGTCCAAAGATGCCATTTTCATTATTAGGAAGCTCTCAACGCAAGTAATATAAATTCATTTAAAACTAATAATTTCTTGAAATATCAAAGCTTATCTACTTGGAAGGAGTATATGAATAATCCATAATCTGGATTAGAGGAAAAACAAATTGAGTACACCACAATTGGAAGTGGTGTGCTGCAATGATGTTTTCTTACCAGATTTAACTTACACAATGGGGTAAGTTTAAAAGAATTAGGACAGCTACAATTTCTGTAATCATGACTTTCATTATGCAGATGAACCAGTGTTGATGGAAGGTTCCAAAGGAAAGCTAAAAGAACTATTAAACAAGGTAGTCAACAAAAGCTTGTGCACAAAAGGGACAGCCCAAGAAGTGACTAATCAGGGACATGAAAATTCCTCTATCTTGGTGGAGGTGGGACATAATAATAATAGCAGCAAATGGAGTGTGGTACTGAAATTCAAAGGCACATAAGGATAGTGAAATTTAATTCTCGGAAACTGAATAAAATACTTATGGGTCAAAAAAGAATACTAGAAATAAGGAATGAAGGACTATTACAGCAACTACTTTCCTGTATGGCAGTGTGTGTTGGAAAATTTTACTTAGGAAAGAAAAAAGCCAACAAAAATCTGGTTATTGTTGGTAATAAAAAACACAGGAAGCTGTAAAGAACAGTGGTTGCTTCCATCTTGAAAGGTCATGGCACAGAAAATTATATTCTCTCATGTTTCACAAGAAACTGAATAAATGTTAATGGTATGTTTTGAATAATAGTTGTCAATTTTTATAAGAGACATTGATAATTTAACATTAAAAAGACTTAAGCAAATGAAATCAATTGAATGTTGTCAGGTTTGCAAGTTAGCAACTTTTGTTAGAGCAGTTACTCAGCTTGTTGCTATTTTCCCTATGCTTTTTAGTAATGGCTTATTTCACTTCATTTAAATATTTCTTAAAATAGAATAAGCAACTTTATTGGCTACTAAAATTTTATGTAAATTACCAATATTTTTGCCTTGTTTTTAAGCAAACTAACAATAGTCAATGATAATGTTAAACTTTATTATTAATGCTTTCAAATGTCTTTAACCTGATAGATTTTTTTTTTCTCAACAGTGGCCCTGAAGATATGCGAACTGCAAACCACATACTGCTTTTTACTATTTTGAATCCACAATATCCTATTACTGTGGTATGTAAGAAATAATTTAATATTAGTTTCTTTGATTTTTGTTTTTTGTCCTATCAATAAATTGTGATTTTTATTTTTTTATTTTTTTTTTTTATTTTTTCTAGGAAGTTATGCAAACAATCTGCTCACCTTATGGTCAAGTCCAAAGGATTGTCATCTTCAAGAAGAATGGTGTCCAAGCAATGGTTGAATATCCTTGTCATGCCAAAAAGGTCTTAATGTCATTAGTTTTCATTTACCATGAAATTAATAGTAATATTTTATTTAATTGCAAGTGGATTCTGGGAACAACTTTTGTAACTGCTTTCCTGTTCTATTTTTGTATTTTGAAAGTTGCATCTTTCAATCTTATAATTATCCAATTTTGAGAATTGTAACTTTCATGACATTTTTTATGTCATGATTTTTTTTTTTTTTCTAATAATACAATAAAATTTCAAACTAATTTCTGAATTGCTCTTAGTGCATTAAGTGAAACTGGCCAGGGTTTTATTTTTTTATCTATATTTAACCTACACTTAAATAGCATACATTTTTTTGATTAGTATTGAAAAATTCTGTTATTGTTAGATTTACAGTGATTTCTTGATATTTTGTCCTTAATTCTATAAACATTTGAAAATGTAGAGCAGGCCAAACGTGCCAAGCAAGCTCTTAATGGAGCAGATATTTACTCTGGCTGCTGTACATTGAAAATAGAGTATGCAAAGGTAAGTTATCACATTTTGAGTTCTCAAGTTAGTTTCCTAGGGAGTGAAATTTGAGTTTATCTTTTTAAAAAGATATTGATACTTAAAAGCAATGACTTGTAAATGAAAAGTGTAAACTCTGCGTCTTTTGTGTGTGTTTTTGTTTTGTTTTGTTTTTTTTGTATCAAGCTAATGTTAAAATTTGTAAATTCTCTTTTGAAATCTATTGCTTGATAATGAAAGTTATTGATAACACATATTAAATAGAAATGAACAGAACTTTGCTTTTTATAGATGGCTTAAGGAACAATAGTTAATGAAGAGGGAAATTGTCTTTGGTAAGGATAAAAAATGTAGCTTGTTAGGAAGATGTGTGTAGGAAATTATATTACATTGAAAATCAAGAATATAAGAGGGTGCTTCTAATTTTGGGGTTCAAGAAGTTTCAACAAAATCTGATGCTTGGAAAGTGAGTCTGCACCCCCTTCATTGTACCAAATCTTAAAATTTACCAACCTCCTAAAACTTTATCTTTTTCAAGGGTGATTGAAGAATAAGTATTTTAAAGGAAATTAGTTTTGCAACTCTAGAAAATATGCTGATTTATATTTTAATTGCAAATTCTAATTTTTGATAGACTATTCCATGATCTTTAATGTCCCTTTTGATGAAGAGGAAGTTCTTTGTTTATAAGTTGTGTGGAGTGGGGAAAGTGTAGCTTGCATACAAAGTAAATTATCTTGAAAATTTAAATTCAAAATGTTGAAAACTTTAGAAATTGTTTGATTAGCTTTTAAAGCAAATATTTGAAAATTTAAAATTTTACTGTGTATTCTAAAATATGTCTAATTAACTAGTTTTGATTTTAGGTTAAAATAAATATTTAATGTATTAGAATATTTCCTGTTCAATAAAAATTAGAGGAAGTGTGCTAAATTTTGGTTAAATTTAACTTATGGGTTTCATTTAAAATGCATATTGGAAGCAATAATTTAACAGTTCACTCCAGTACATATTAATTCTTTCTACTTGAAACCTTTACTTCAATTGATACATACAAACTGTATTTTAAAATATATATATATATATATATAGAGTAAATTTGGAAACTTCCATCAAAATTGTAATTTTGCTCTTTCTAACTGTATAATAACCAAGGAGAGCATGCAGTGCACATAAATCTTTGTGTTTTTGTTTTTTTAACTGGCTAGATGCTATCCCATTTTTGATAGGGATTAAATTCTGATAAATTAGTGCACTAATGCTTCAAGTACATTAATAAATATATAAAATGCAGTCACTTTAAACATTTAGACCATTCAACTTATAATTTAGATTGTTATTTGTTTACTAAGGCTACTATTAACAATAGATAAATTATTTTTCTTTCTGCAGCCTACCAAACTCAATGTTGTCAGAAATGACAATGAGAGTTGGGACTACAGCAACCCATCTCTCGGTAAGTATTTAAAGTTGATTTCTATTTACGTGCAATAACAGCAGCTACTGCATGTCATTCTAGGTGAGGTATTGCAATGCACAGTTGATAATTGCCCAGTCAAATAAGTGTAAAACTACATGAAATTAATTTTCTTTTAACCTGGACAAATGGTTTGAATTGGAACCATGCATAGCGGCTTTATTCTAGAGTCTAACAAATTTTTTCAGTTACATTAATTAAACATTTGAATTCTCAAATTTAAAACACCCATGGTATTTAAAATTGTACCCAGTAGCAAGTAACCTTGTATCTGTTTAGTGTGGGCTGATGTTTCTCTCTCTCTCTCTCTCTCTCTCTATAATGAAAAGATATTCCATTGGTTACTAAATATTTACCAGTTAGACTCTTGCTTTGTTACTTTTTCCAGATAATTTCTTTGACTTGAGCTATTTAAACAAAATCTTGCATGCATACAATTATGATTTTATTCTTGAATTAAAAAAGTAATTTTGTGCAGAAATAACTTAAATCATTTTTTTTAAATTTGCTTATATTAGTTAATATGACTAGTTTAAAAATATTGTAAACAAAATTTGTCATCAGTATTGACTAATCTTAAAATTATTTAAAGCTTGATAAATGTTCAAGTGGAACACTTCAAAGCTGAGGCAGTTTTGATTATGCAAAATGTTCTTGATAATCCACTTCATACCTACATTAAATATCAACTGATTTTTAATTATTAAAAATGGTCTTTACAGTCTTTATTTTATTCATTTATAAGAGATATTTTTGATACTCTGAAATTAAAATTGCAACAAGAGTATAAAGTCTTTTATTTTAATTTATTTTGCTTGGATTTGAAGTTATGTTGTATTGTATAGATATTAAACAGGTTTATTGAGCCGCTATAAGAAAAAAGGTCTAAAACAAGATTAGTAGGTCTTTAAAAAGATCTGCTAGATTGCATACACTACACATTCCCCTCCTCCTCCCTTACATTAAAATTCATTTGTGGACATGGTAAGTCATATCAGTATACATTTTTCAGCTGTTTTATATATATATATAAAAGCTGGTGCCATTAATTGCAGGTTTTTTGTTTGTTTGATTTTTTTTGATTTTTTTAAGTTTGGAATACTTAGCTTGCTAAGTTTATTTTCATTGCTATCCAAATTGTGATGAAAAAAAACTTATCCCTTGACAATATTGCTGATAATGGCAAACAAATCCAACTTGCAAAACTAAGTGATTAAATTTTTTTTTTTTTTTTTTTTTTCCCCTCTTGGAGAGTGGATCTATTGTAAATGTAACTTGTACTAGACCTTAAGTTTGCCATATTTTTTAAATACAAAATAATTTAATGTCAATCATTGGTACCTAATTCAATTTTAAATATTGGAACTTTAATATGTATTATCTTATTCAAAAGATTTTTTGTGTGTACAAAAATGTTATGAAATGTCTTTAGTAAATAGAAAAACACTAAGTTTAATTTAAACAAATTATATGTGAAACCACTTGTATGTGAAGACTGTACTATAGTTTTATAGTTCTCATCTAATAATAAAAGTTTTGAATTGTGATCCTCTCTAGTCCCCAACATAAAGACTTCTTTGAGCTTTTACAGTCTATCCACCTATAGGACGACCATTTGAATAAACATCTTGGCATCAATTCATCACACTAATATTACCTGGCTCATTCTAAAATCCTCCCCAAACAAGTCACAGAACAAGTCAGCTACACACAATAGAAGTCAAGTGGACATGGCTATTTAAAACATTCAGAAGCTGTTATGTTCTTGCTGCCTGCAACATTACAAATCAGAAGCAGCCACTTTCTACATATTAGAAAAAAAACTAATGCTGATGAAAATCAAGCAGACAGAAAGATACAGTGTCCATCATGAGCACAACTTGGCTGGCTCTTATAGTCAGTTTGTGCAGTGGCAGCAGTATTCTCCATCTCCAGACCTGCAGACAGACTCTCCCAAAAAACACAGAAGAAGCACCATTTCTCAGTCAGTCAGACAGACAAGTACATCAACCCAAACAACTACAATTACATCAACATCAACAACTAATATCACCACAACTATTACAACTACTACCACCACCATCACCACCAAGCAGATACCCATCACCGCACAGAACAAAACATCACAAGCGGCCAGGTCCACCACACAAGGTGTCACCATACCCTGTAAACCCATCCATCCGTCTGACTCTCCTACGCTTGTTTGCCTTCCTATAACCAAGTCTGGTTGGTTTACTGACCTGTGATTCTGTGTGCATTATACAGGGTGTAGGCCAGCGCAGGCCCGGCCCTCCTACTACTACTACTACTGCTGCTGCAGAAGGAGGAGGAGTTGGAAGATGACATGTGACCAGCACCGGGTTGATTGACTGATCTTCATTCAGGCTCAACTACTGCCTCCTTGACCAACAGCTACTACTGCTCTGACCAAATCAACTGGGCTCCTTCCAATGCTGTTAACTCACCAGAAAATGAAACTGGTAGAATTTTTTTTATTTTTCTCCTTATTTTCCAGGGTGTATTTAATTTTAATTTAATTTTCCATTTTTACTCTTTGATCCCATCTGGATTGCTAACTTGTATGACTTGATGACCAAACAACTATGAATCTGAAATATCTAAATGGCTTTCCTGCTTTGGATTATACATGAATTTTCTCACCCTGTCATTTACCTATTAATTATTTGAAGGGTGACTTTACATTTCTCATATCCTCTCTGTAACCTAAAACTGGAAGTTACTGGACAAAAAAATGTTGCTTGTCTTCTGATTTCAAAACTTCCTAAGTTTGAAAGCTGCCTGTCTGACTGCTGCTGCTGCTGTATACTGTGTATAATGGGAGTTATCAGTCTGCTCTGACATCATCACTTTGAAAAATATAACTGAAGACTTTGCTTATTCCAGATTTCCATTTATCCCTTCTGTATAGATTGAAAACTTGAAGGGGAATTTTATTCCTAATTTGATTTATATTGTAGATTCAAATGCTACCAATAGTTATAACTTAGAAATTGTAAATTCGCAATTAATAGATATTAACATTTTTTTAAAGTTTTAGTCCTTAATTCTTATATGGTCTTAAATGACTTTGAAATTTATATAAGCCACGCTTAAAATGCAGTTTTTTTTGTAAATTAAGATTTTAGAATTTTTTGTCAAGTCACCTTAATTTACAGAAACTACACAACTTGTCAAAATATCTCACTAGTTTGAAGACTTCATTTGCTAACCACTTCTAGTTTTTTCTGTTATAAGGAATCTTTCCAAGTGTAGTTAAATTTATATACATGTATATTATGAATTAATATTTAACTTCACATTCAATGAGTTTCACAGTTATTTTTCTTGAATGTTAAACTTTTGTTCATTATAATGTATACCATTTTAAATAATTGATAATCCATTGTCAAGGGATATACAAAACTGATATTGTGTGTATAAACTATACTGTTGATAACATCAACAGTATCTTGGTAAGTTCTTTTTATGTATTTACTGCACTATGATGGAGAAATGTCTTGAGAGGATGCCTTTTTGTTCCTACTTGAAATAATTGTAATCTGTTTTGGCACTCCTGCTCATGGTTTCTGTACAAAGGACCTACTTGCTGAAAGTAGGGCTTTGTAATTAAAATACCCTGTGTATTTGTTGGGTTACTACAGTATGAATCGGTCTGTAGTCACACCCTTAATGAGAACTGTTACCTTTTGCAGGATCTTGCAACTTGGCTATTTTTGATATAACCACAGGACTGAGTGTTAGAGCAAAAATTAATGTGTAAAACTAATCTTTTTGTAATATAAAAAAAAAAAAAAATCATATCAAAGAAGCAAACCTTTTTTTTTTTTTTTTTTTTTTTTTTTTTTTTTTTTTTTTTTTTTTCAAAAGGCCTTGTTAATTCCGATCCTCTATATGTAATGATTTTTTTTTTTTTTTTTTTTTCTTTCTTGTTAGGATTTCTTTAGTTAATAACTTTTTTTTCTTTTTTTTTTCTTCTTTTTGCAATGTTTTAGTGGGAGTTCATCATCCACTGTAGTTATTTAAAAATGACTTCAGTTTAGTTAAGGCATCTTGAAATTTATAAAATTGACATTTTCTCTTTTCCTTTCATTTGGGTCTGACTTAACTATAATAATCCATTTTAAATTCTTAAATAATTCTGTAGTTGATAACTCTAAACAGTTTATGGTGGTGCTTCTATTTCTTATAAATTGGATAGTGGTGAAGTTCATTTTTCCAAGTTAGTTCCATTCTATGTTTTTAAAAGTAAACCTTTCACTCAGGATTTAAGATTATAGTTAATAGTTAATATGCAGCAGCAGTTGGTTGGTCAGTCTATGCACAGTTATTTCCTCTCTATTTAAATAGCACACAATTAGTAGTATTTCCACTGTCTGCAGATTTCTTGCTTGCTCTCAGACTTATCTCACCTGTGTCACTTTGTTTCAGGTAAGAGTCCTGTGGTTGCTAAAAATCAGCCTTTGCTGCAAGATCCACGCTATACACCAGGGCCCACTCCCTATGGTGAGTGTCCTCAATCACCAGGTGAAGTATTGTTCTACAGCTCCATTTTTTTTTTTTTTTTTTTCTCCTCCTCATAGTTTTTTTTTTTTTCTCTCTCTCTCCCTACTTAACCCCACTAGTGTGGTCCTGATTTTTCTACTTCCCCTTAATTATAAAGGGTTAACATTATACATAACCAGTCAGAAATGCTTACAATGTGTTGTGACTCCTCACATCACCTTCGTAGTGGATGGACAACAAGCATATGGCTGAGCTTGAGCTTAAGTTATTACTACCGTTATTGCTTATATAGGTTTTTAGTTGTTTGCAGTTTTTTTTTTTTTTTTGCAACAGCTTTTTTTCCTTTTGATCAGCTGAATGTCCTGTCTTATAATGTAAGTGAAAACATGATGGCCTTACTGTCACTTACATTTGATAATTTTGCCACAAAATTGGGTAGACTACTTTGACAATATTCGAATAAGATGTGCTAAAAAAAAAGTTCTTGGGTTGTTCAAGAAACCATTACCAGGGTCGTTGTTTGGTCAGATGATAGAATGTGGATTTGGCCAATAACTTCTCAGCACCTCCACATATGCAACTATTCTTTAATAAAGGGCATTAAACTGTTATAACTGTTTGGCCTAAACTCTTAAACTATAAGATTATTTAAATCTTTAAAATACACACACACTGAAATATGTGTGTTTGTGTGCATGTGCACGCATTCCTTCTTATTCCAAGGAAGATTTTGATAATTTATTTTTGTACTCTTTATATAAAGTATTTGTAAATTAAAATGTTTAAAAGTTATTAGAAAACACAGCAAGAATATGCCAATATTTTGAAATTTCCAATTTAAGCTTCATCATTCAAGTATGTTTTAAGTAAATAATAGCAAAGCTACTAAATAAAGTGCAGAATATTCTATGCTTTTTGTTTAAAGTAGTTTCTCTCATATATATAATGGCAAAAATTTTGGTGTGTAGTGTTGGAAATGAAAAGATTAAAAATACATGATTATCATTTTACTTATGGGCTTATTTGATCCTGATCCTTACAAAAAAAAAAAAAAGTAGAATTGAATTTTTTTTTTAAAAATGCATCTTACAAATATCTTCATTTGTATAAAGAATATATAAATAAATTGTTCATGAAAATTTTCCTTGAATATGCTCAATCAGAATGAGGTTTTGGGTCTAAATATTGCAGTTTAGGAGTTGAAGCCAGGCATATACACATAAGCAATTTGGGACAGAAATAATGAGAGAAAAAAAATTGTAATACATGGGCAATACTGGTTAGTCTTGCTTATTTGTGTGTTTTGTAAAATTATATTTCTTTCACCTCTCCACTCACCCTTCCACCTCCATGTTGCTTTAGCTTGCTTCAGATCATAAATTTTCTCAATTTGTTTTTACATTTTACTTGTATTAAGCCTATATAAATGAACTTTACATAGCAATCGTTATGCATCTTTTTATTATCACCATTCTTTTTCGCTCTGCATGTATATTTTCCCTTCTGAATATCCGACACACTAGTAGGGCATTTTACAAAGGCCTTTTAAACATTCGGATCTAAATTTTCTATATTTCACATGAAAATGGTATTGCCAGCTTCCAAGTTTGAAAACTAAATTATAGTCACTGGGTAATTGATTTCTTTTGCTTTTTTTTATCTTTGTAATCTTAAAATGTTAACTTGTTTGAATTGTGTATAATGTTGTAAATTAACACTTGAATATTTAATCTATGCATCTCTCATTTTGGGATTGAATAGCAAAATTTGTGCTTTTAAAAAAATTCAAAGCTTAAAAATGTTTCCAATTAGGCTCATGAAATATTTTAAAATATTTACTTTTGTCTATCTTCTGCAATAGAAGTAAGAATTTTATGAAAGGGGTTTGTCAGTTGGAACCTATGACATAATTTTTCTACTGTTAAGTCTTAGAAGTGAGATGAATATAATTTGCTGATTCTCCCAATAGGATTGTTCTAAACTTAGTTTTTGTGATTATATGATTTGGGACAAGATGCAGTAGATATTGAGTGACAATTTTAAGCACAGTCACATTTATCAAACATTTTTTTAAGTTTGACTTTGAATTTTGTTCTCAATTAAAATGTTCATTTTGTATTTTCATGTATTGGTATTACAAAGTATTCTAAGAAACAATGCAATTTAACATGGCTGATTTTTGTCTGTTGACTATTTAGAATGTGTGTGCATATATATATATATATATATATATATATATATATATATATATACACACACACAATTTCTGTAGATATAGCTATCTAAAAGTTCTTTTTAAATTCTGTCATTTAACTTTGCTGTGACTGTTTCAGTATCATAAACTTTAAATTTCTTTAACTATCTTTCACTGCTTGTGAAATATAACATGCATATACATATTAATGTAGACAGGAATTTTCTCAATTAATAACCAGGCATTTTTCTGGTGATAAATTATTTTTTAAAAAAATGGCTTTACAACAGAAATAATATCAAAGTAAGCTTCGGTTTCGCTTAGAAGATCCATAGTTGTAACACTAAGTTGCTGGCCAGTAAAAATTAGTCCTAAAGACATCCTAACTGCTGGGACAACAACCATCTGTTGAAAAGCAGACATTAGATGAAATCTGTTGTTTACAAATCAAAATTCACAAGTGAGGGGGTCGGGGACAAATTTTATGTTGTAGCCCAGGAGGGAGAATGGAAGAAAAGATACTATAATCATGTAATGAGCATAGGCAATGCTAGGTATAAAACGATATATACCCTATCTACCTACATCTGGAGTAAAAAGGAGGAAGATAAGCAAAATAGAATGAGAAATAATGAGCATTGCGTGAACTTAACAGTGGCAGCAGCAAAAGGTGCCACTTGTGCTTGTCCCAAAAATTGCTTATATTACAGAGCATAGATAATGAAAAGATACTCAATAAGGGGCAAGAGCTTGTCTATTTGTTAACATAAAAAGTCTAGATGTAGATTTTTTTTTTTCTCCTTAGAAATTTGTATTTCATCCTGCATTCAAAATTTGATAGCATTGTATATTTTTCATTATTCTAAAAATGCCTAAATGGTGAGACATGCTTGTACATGTTCAGATAGTTCAAGCAGCTGTGTTGTCACAATAATATTTGACTTGGTAATTAATATGATCCTCTTAAAGTTAGGTGTGTTGATGGAGAATTGTCTAAATTGCACAAAAATGAAAATAACACTGACATCTCGTTTTAACAGGTACATTTACCAAAATTACACAAATATCTTGAAATACTAAAGAGTGAATTTATTCAATAAAATTGCCATGGGCTTTGATTACGGTCTCCAGGTGACTTTGGAATCTCCTGCAATTTTTCTGGGCGGTATCCTTGTTTAAGTTGGTGAATGCTGCCATAGTCCTTGCCTTCAATTCATTTTTGGTTTACAAGGAGTTTTTGTTGGTCTCTCACTCAACTTCACCCCACACAATAATCAAGGGAGTTGCAGTCTGAGGAGGCTCTTCCCAACAAATCCAGAAGTTCTTATAAGAATGATCAGCAAGTTTTCCAAGCTGCCATACTTTCATAATCTCCGTTAGACTCCTCCAACTCTTTCTGAATTCTCTGTACTGTCCTCAGATTGACACCCAAACATTCTGAATTGTTCACATTGGAGGTCCAGTACAAATGCTAAGCAGTACAGCATGCCTTTCCTAGATTTTCTGGCAGAGGGAATTGCATCATTGTGTTCTTTTTCTCACAGTGTCTAACTGATCTTACTATACTGTGCAGTTGACAAAATGAAAAATAATGCACATGTGTGGAATTAAAAATATACAATGGCAACAATTTACCCATCTTAATCCTGTTTCATGAACAGATTGTACTGTTTAATTTATCAATGACTTGTTCTTGTCTGAAGTCTAGAGGTAGTGCTGTTACAGTTAGTTAGCTCAGATATTGATTTCAACAGTTTACCATCTGCAGTAACTCGGAAATGTCTAATTGACAGAAACCTACCATTTTTATTTTATTTATTTTAATGACCTATTAGTAACTGTGGGGAGATATTTTTCAAATTATGAAGAGGTGATATTAACTTAGTGCAAGTGAATAGACTAAATCACAAACCAAAGTGTGCCTTCACCCAAAGAATGTTTTGGTAAGTGTATGGCAGTTTCATTGATGTGATCACTCCATTTGAACTTGTTAGCAGTCAATGCTACAATGACAACAAACATTATGAGCAGTTTAATGTTTAAAATTGTTTTGGAAGGAAAAGACCCAATTAAATCTGTTGCAAGAGTGTTCTATTTCATCAGGATAATTCATGATCCCATGCAGCTGAAAAGATAGCCCTTGGGAGAGAAAAAATTTCAGATTTTCATTGTTCTCCAGAGTTTGGTTCTTTGATTACTACCTATTGTGGAGTCTTTAAAACCAACTTCATGGATTCATTTTTAAAACAGAAATCAGTGGAAACTACAAACTTTACAAAAAAAAAGATTGGGTTCTAATTGAACAAGATTTTTTTTTTTTTTTTTTTTTTTTTTAACCCTAAATTGGAACATTACTTATGGGATCATTTAAATATATTGGTAGGAGTAAAATAAAAATCTTATCTTTTTCCCAAAATCATTTCATTGTGCATATAATGATTCATAATTCAAGTTTACATTTCCAGTGCCTACTGTAGTATTATTAACAAGCATTAGATATTAAAATTTATTCTCCAACATAATTTAAATGCATTGCTGAAAGTGCAAATTGTTTAGATTTTAAAACTTCTATAATGCTTGTGTTAAATTACACAATTTGCCTAATTTGGAAATAAGAATGTCATTAATATTCTTGTAAAATCTGAATTGCCAATCATTTTTGCTTTACAGATATTTTGCTTTAATTTACTATTTATTTATTTTTCATATTCTAAAGAAGTTGGACTCTTAGGTAACTTTCCTTTTTTTTTAATTATTATACTGATTTTGTTGGATTAGTGTTTTTTTTTTTTTGTGTGTGTGTGTGTGTAATATATATATATATATATATATATATATATATATATATATATATCCCATGTGCTAGTGCTTGTTAGCAGTTGGTACATACAAATGTTGTGAAATTGTACTTGCATAATACTCATTATATTTGGAGTCTAAACTCAGGATTGCCTTGAATTATGTCTCATTTATGCTGATGTAATACAAAATTCTGTATTGCTTTCAAGCATGTAAGTGTATTTTCACAGAATCACATCTATTCAATGTATCAGTAAATGTTTCCGATTTCTTAATTGCTATAAAACATTAATTAGATTGAAAGCATTTTTACATTGTAAGTTTAGAAGAAATATTTTCACTTTTTTTTTTTTTTTCTTTTTCTTTTTCTTTTTCTTTTCTTTTTCTTCTAATTTTATCCACTAATACAAAAGATAAGTTAGGTTTTGAAACTTTAACCTCTTCATGCCCATCATAAAATCCAGTATTAATTATAAAAATTAAAACTGGTCTTAATTCTAGGTTTATAAAATTAAAAAAAAAAATGAATAAAATAATTTGATGTTATAGATTTCTAGCAATAAGCTATTCATGCCCACCATCCCAGTTTTGGGCCAGTGAGCATTGAGTTAAATTAGTCTATTTAAAGATTTGTAGTGACTTAAATCTGGATACAAAATTTCTTTGATATAATGGGAATTTTCTATTAATGAACTTTTGCTATCTATACAGAAATTTTTAGAGTTTTTCTTTTTTTACATTTGAGTGTCAAAGAAACTGGCTTTAAAAAGAATACTTTTCCTATTGAATGAGCATTTTTATTTAGCACTGGTACCTTTTGCCTTGCTCTGCATGAGTTTGACAATGTTATGGCTTTTATTTTTCTTTCTCTCCTTTGATTGTGGAACTTTGCTTCTCTTTTTTTTTTTTTTTTTTTTAAGACTGGTGCAATTTTTAACTTGCTTATTTCAATACATATGGAAAAAATGTTGGTGAAATGAAGGATTTTTAAGTTTTGTTAATTTTTGTTTCTGGATTTGGGATGAAGGTTTTAAAAAATTCTATTATCCTTTTGGTTCCGATGAATTTTATGAAAAATACAAACATCCTTTATTTTATGTATGAAATGAAACAAACAAAATTTAAATAATTTATTAGCTATATAATAGGTTTGTTTAATTGCAGTGCATTACCATTAAATGGTGAAAACAAATTTAACAAATAAGCTTCATTTCTTGCAAGACCCTTTTGAAAAGCTAAAAATTGTTTGTCTTTCTCATAAGTATTTAAAATAGTGATTTTTTTTTTTTTTTTTTTTTTTTTTTACTCTGTACAAAAGTTTTAGGCAATAAATGTTCAGGTAATCTTAATCTGACAAAGAAAATCTATTAGATGAAAATATTAAAGAATTGTTACACATTATCTTTTAATTCATTGAATTTTTAAACAAATGGTCATTGTTTTTCTTTTTACTAAGTTTCAATGTTAAGCTTGTAAATTTTTTTTAATTGCATATATTTAATTATAAGTGTCCACTGATATGAGAAACAGCTTTTTGTTTGTCTTAAATTTTTATTTAATTATATTTATTCACTGTTATATCTCTGTTCCTCTCAACAGGATCCCACCCAGATGTGCGGCGCGGTGGCGGTGGTGGTGGTGGCCCTGGCATGGGCCCACCACCTGGAAGCCATGGTGGTGGATATGGCCCTGGTCCAATGTACGAGGGTGATGGTTATGATAATTACTGTGGTGGTGGCGGTGGTGGAAGGGGCTACGGAATGCAGCCAGACCGTTATGGACCAGGACCTGTTAGCACTGGAATCTTGGTAAGCATTTAATATAATTTCACAAGCGGTTACTTACCTAGAATGATCAAATGCTTCTTGTTTCATAGGTTCGTTCTAGCTTTATATTTTTAATGAAAGGTACATTTCTATATTTGATAAATATTTATTTACTTTTCTAATATGTACATTTTCTGTATTTAATACTTTTAAGACCCTATAGAACTATAATGAATGGCCTTGTAATTGAAAACTTTATTTCACAGCATGTGACATGCTTTGAAAAAGTCACTTTTCATCTTGCGTGCAAAGTTGAAATTTACCTTAAATAGTAAATACTCACTACCAATGGCTATAATTTTACCTCACCTGACTTTATTATGCTGTTTACAGCCTTCTCTACTGTAAAAGGAATAATCATAACAATAGTGGCAACATTTACTGGTACTAGCTGAACCATCAAGCCTAAAATACCTCAACTCCTGTTGTTAACTAGCTGGAAACTTCAAAAGATATACAACTGAAAGGAAATAGCAATAATGATAAAATAATAACTTGGGAAATATGAGTTTAAGGGCACAAATGACAAGACCCACATAGGCCTGAATTTGAGAATATTGAAAGCCAAACTAGTGATGTTCCATTATCTGTCCCCAAGCAGACCCTGAATTTTCGCATATTGCGATGACTCCTCTTTTTTTTTTTTTTTTTTTTTTCCTCTATCTCAGGTCCCATGCCTTAAACTCCTAACCCAGGAGAACTCCCAAGAGGATTTTTTCCCCTGATCATTATAATCGTACTTAAACAAGTAAGATTAAAGTGATCAGGGAAAAATCCTCTAGGGTTAACCATTACCTTCCCCACATATTCCCATAAATTGCCTCTTACTCTGTAACTCTTCAACTTGAAATGGTTTTTCAGAACTTTGAGGGAGCACAAGGAAAATTCCTTGCACAGAAAACGTCAACTAATTAAGGGAAAATATTTTTCCTGAATATACCATACTAAAATTAACCTGCATCTAATATGTACATCTTTTATTGTGTCAAATACTGTAGTTGAAATAGTCTTATGCTATAAAGTTTTGTACTGCTCACAAAAATTGACTTTTTTTGTGTTTTTATAAAAAAAAAAAAAAAAAATTATCTGCTGAAAATGTAATACAAGCAGCAATTTCGTGACGCCATTTACCTAAGGATTTTTTGTATAATTCTAAAATATCTTGGCCTTGAAAAATGGAATCTCTCAAAGTTTTGATCATAATGTTTTTTTATTGAAATAAAATAGTATGTAAACTTCAATTTGAAAAAGAAAAAAAATTGCTGTTTTCCATTTGCATTTATCAATATTTATTCTTAGTCATATCAGTGCTTGAATAATGAAGATTCCCATTCTAATTTAGCTACAAGTAATGTATTTTTGTTTTTGTAAGTTCTTGAATACAGCTTGGACTTAATTATTTCTCACAAAGTGGAAATTTGAAGATTCTCAAGTTTTTGTTGTTTTTTTTTTTTGTTTTTTTTTTTTTTTTTGTCTTTTTTCTCTCCCCTTCAAACCTGAAATACTGCAAAATCAAATCTTGTTACAAACATTCATAATAGATGAAGCTGAGTTCCTGTTTTTCATTTGTTTAAATATAAATAGAAGCATTTAAACAATTTTATAGGTAAAAAGAAATAGCAGAAATGCCTTTAAATTAGCTGACCCTTTTTCTGCTGAGCAAAAAAAAAACTATATACATTTCTAAAACCAATTAGTCAACAAGTGGTATTCTGCTGCTTTTTTCAGTGGTTTCTATCTACTATCTGAACCTTTTCTCTCCATATATATAGTTAGCCATACTAGATTTTTCTGCTTAAGAATTTTTCTTGAATCTGATTGTAAGGGGATGGCTAATTTCTTTCTAGTTTAGTTTTTAGGCTACTTGTATAGCCTAAATGGAAAATGACACCTATACACAAAAATATTCTAAGCAAATGCTTGTTTAGGTCTTATAACAAGTGCCAATTTATGTGTGATGGACACCTTATTAAAAGGTCTAAAACTGTTAAAGCTCACTATTTATTGATACTGATGTAGGGTGTACCTTTTAAACCTAAATTTATTGTTAATGCTTTTTCTACCATATAATTGAAACAAAAAATTTAATTTGACAGCATATGACACTTTTTTTTTTTCTTTTTTTAACATCAAACTGTTACTTCTATCTCACCTGACTTACATGATGTCCTTTTAATCAGCTTCACCAACTTTCTATACTCTATTGCTAGAAGAAAAGTGATTTTGTTTCTTATCTTCAACATATGATCTTTTTGTAACTCATTAAAATTTTTTTCTTTAAGGAATAAAAACCTGAAGAATGATTTTGTCAAAAGTGAAGATGTCTAATTGTCTGAACAAAATTTGGAATAACAATTGTAGTTTATTTTACAAATTTTCATTTTCTGTTATCTATCTCCAAGCAAAATCAAAATATAGTTTCTGCTTTTTGACTCTGTAAATTCTTTTATATAGAGGTCTAGACAGGTTGAATATATTACAGTGCAAAGTTAAAAAAAAAAAAAAAAAATAGTTTTAATCATTTATCAGTAAATTTTTAAATGTAAATATTTGTACCTTTTTATTACATTTAATGTTAATTTTAAAAAAATGTTTAACTTCTTTGGCATTAATTTATTGGTACAATAAATTGTCTTTAGGTACAATATATGGCTCTCCTCACATGTGGCTTTGGATATAATCTGCAAAATATCCTTCTTGTCATTGCAAAAGGTTAACTGGCACACAATTAAAAATATGCAATTTTTTTTATATATTTTTTATTCTATTTAATCAACAGTAATGCTAACTATATGGCTGACATAATTTTCATCTTGACCAAGAAGTAACTCCAGAAAAATTCTGATTGTCAAATCTTAAGATTCCAAAGTATTCCTGAATCGTGTGAAGTTAGGGCCTACAATTTGCAATGGAAAAGGAGGAAAATAAGCAAATTATTGCAAATGATAGGAATCTATATTGTAACTTAGAATTTCTTCAATATTTATCAAACTTGTGTGCATGTTTTTTCTTCTTTTTCCCAACCGTATATTACTTTTTCTTGCTAGCATACATATAAATAACTAAATATTTTAACTTTCATCAGCTGTTTTAAATAGCTGTTAGCTTCAATGACCCACACCACCACCAAAAAATCATAGTAATATAGAAAAATCAATAATCTTGAGCCATTTTGTACCATTTTGTTACAATATAAGTGATTCTTGCCTGAACCTTTTGTTTACTGATTAAATTTTTTTCTTTTTCTCTTTCAGGATCGTTATGGGGGCCCACCTATGCCACCTTATGAAGATCCTAACTCTCGTATGATAGGTCATAATCCTGCTGGTGGCCCTCAACAAGGAGCTGTTCTAATGGTTTATGGGCTCAACATGGAGAAAATTAACTGTGATTCACTTTTCAACTTGTTTTGCCTTTATGGTAATGTGGTGCGGGTAAGCAACAGATTTTTAGTAGCACATTCTAGTATTTGTATTCAGGTATGAACATAAAACTTAAGCAGAAACTGAGATTTTCCAAGACAATTGTCAGTAACTGGTAATCTTCACTTCAAAAAAGGTTTTCTTTTATAAAGCTGTTTAATTCTCAATGTTTACACAAGCAATAAGCACAGCTCATCATATATGATCACTGAATCTAACTAGGTTTCTCTGTGCATTACATTGTCAGCAATTGACTAAAGTAATTTTTTTTTAATGTAAAGAATTATAGGGGAAACTAGGTTGGTGTTTTTTTTTTTTTTTTTTTTTTTTGCTGCTTTAAAGAGCCATCTATAATTTCATAATTACCAACTTGTGAAATTAAAATAAATGTATACAACTTGAATTATCTAAGTAAATCAGTTAAGCAATCATTTACAAAATTTATGTCAAAATCTCTTTTTGTTTAGAATGTCAGCACAACAATAATGTTTATTTGCAGATCAAATTCTTAAAAAGCAAAGAGGGTTCAGCTATGATTCAGATGGGTGATGGACTTGCTGTGGAGAGAGCCATTCAAAATCTCAGCAGCTGCTACTTTATGGGCCGAAAAATGCAACTTGGGTGAGTAGTTTGTTTTGCCCACATTTTGTAGAGGCTACTTTACATTGTGTTGCTTAAATTTAATGTCATTAATGTAACTTATTTCCTTCATAACCTATGACTTTCATGTAGTGCATAGTAATGTATGAAGAAAATGAACTATTTTCCTCTATTTTCATGTCTTTTCTTTTTACTTAGTCACTCTAAGCAAGCCTTTCTCCAGGATGTTCCTAACCCTCACACTCTTCCTGATGGGTCCCCCTCTTTTAAAGACTTCATGGGCAGCAGAAACAACCGTTTCACCAATCCAGAGGCTGCAAGCAAGAATCATATCCTTTTGTGATGATGGGGGGAATTTCACTTTGTTTTTGTTTTTTTTTTTTTTTTTTAAGGGGCTAGTTTGCTTCACACATTGATAAAGTACTTGAGTTAAAATTATTAATTCAGAATGGTTTAAATATTTCTCCATATGCAACTTTAGACACTCTTAACCAATAATTTGGGGACATTTTTTGAGATATTTGTATCTGATTTGAAGGTAAAAATAAACCTGTTGGGATTGCCTAATGTAACATTTTTAGAATTTTGCTTCTATAGATGTAGTTTTATTTGAAATATATAAGTAAATGGGAATGATTTTACAACTTAAGTTTGTATTACTACAGATTGAATATTTGACAATGAAATATTGACTAAATAGCAAAAGGCATTAGTTATTTGATTTGATATTTCCATTTATAACCATTATGAAAGATCTTTTTAAAGAATATAGTAGTATGCATTGTTAAAAATATTAAAAATTAAAATAAATTTTAAATTAAATATTTTAAACTGTTTATTAAATCTGTTCCTGTTTGAATATTTACAGGTTATTTTTGCTTTTAAAAATATGGAATATTTCCTTAACATTTCTTATGTATTCAAGGTCCTGCTAAGGTACTTCACTATTTCAATGCCCCACCTAATATTACTGAAGAAGAAATATGTCAGGTAGAGTATTTCAATTTTATATCCGGTTTGATGTGTGCTTATTGCATATTATGAAATTGTAATGTTTCTAAAAACTGGAATCTTCAGAAATATAAATTCATAATTTCTATTTAAATAATTGAAGTTCTGTTTTGTTTTTTAAATATTCTTATTTTGTAACAATGTAAAATTAATACAGAGGTTATTAAAAAGGAAATTAACAATTATTCTGCTTTAAACGTAATATTTTCTTATGTAGGTATTCACAGATGCAGGTGCAAAGAGCCCGGTTAGAATTAAGCAATTTCCTTCCCGCAGTAAGTAAGATTTTCAACAAAACCTTTTTTCTTAATTCGATCCACAGTACATAGTCTGAAGATATTAATTTAATTGATGATTAATCTCTCTCTCTCTCGTTTTAAATATTAAGCATATTTGGTTATTTCAAATAACAAATCTTCATTAAATTTCTTTTTTGCTTTTAAGATGAAAATATATCTAATGATTGAAAAATGTTAAATTTAGTCCAGGAAAATATTTTAATGGGGGGGGGGGCAATCAATGTTTATGTTCTGTTTTTAATCATTTGTTAAATCTTGCAGTAGATAATATTTTTGCAAGGTTTAGTTAGTTACTTTTTAACGGCATGATATTCTTATAACCTACTATATTAAATTGCTCTAGAGAAACATCACACTTTTGCAGCTGAAAGGAGTTCTACCGGATTGGTTGAGTTTGACACTAAAGCTGATGCTATTGAAGGGCTTATAGCATGCAACCACCAGAGTATCCCCAATCCTAGTGAGTATTCAAGATTATTTCATCCAGATAAATATTTGCTGCATTTTACTTGATCTCACTTGTTGCTAAGTAAAAGTAATTTTTAATGTATTTACTAAAACTTTGAAACTATAATCCTTATAATATTTATGCTTTAATTTCTTGTGTGTTCCTATGTTAGGCAGTGAAACATTAAAGATGCTTCATTCCACTTGTGCTCTTTTATTTTGCATTAATAGGATGTTTTAATTTGAAATAATTTTATTCATTTTGACAAAGTAACTTTTGCCATTTTTTCTTTTTCCTTTCAGATGGGAAGAACCCATTTGTGTTCAAATTGTGCTTCTCCCAGACTCCCATTATGGGTTAGCCTGGTGCAGTGGCCTTCTCTTAGGCAGCCAACTACAGCTGAAGAGTTGCATTCTTACCCACATCTGTGTCTATTTGTTTGTCTGTCTGTCCTTTTACTGATGATAAAATGTCTAGAATCAGATGAAATGAATGGAAGAAAGAGAACTCCTCACTCAGGCATTTTACTTCATGTCATGTTCTCCTCCTCCGCGCCGCCAAAGCCATGTAGCTGCCATGATTCATGTCTTAGTTCTCATCAAACACTCACATCATAATTAAACAAAGAAAAAAGCATTTTTGTTTTGTTTCATTTTCTTTTTTTCTTTTTAGTACATTAGATTTACAAACCTTTCTTCACTCTCCACTTTCTTCACTACAGTTTTTGATTTCTTGCAAGCTCTTTACATCCATCCTTTAAGATATCAAAATATTTCTTTTAAAAAAACATCTGACTTATTGATTTAATAAATTGTGCCCTACACAACTGGTCTGTTGGGACACTATTCTGCTATTACTCCACTATGTTGTATTTTAATGTCCTCTGACGTGGGGCGCTCTCTTCCTTGTGCCTGCTGGCAGACTATGGCTGTGTGAATCAATCAGTGGAAGAATGCTCATTAAAAAAAAAAAAAAAAAAAAAATTAAAAAAAAGAAAGAAAGAAAAACACCCCAAAAAAGAAACTAACCACTGCAGTCATTTCTGTCTAGTATTTGCATATTATTTTGGGCAATGCTGCTGCTGCTAAATAGGTTTGTAGTACAAAGTGCCCACTTCTCTCTTCACCCTACTATTATTTTTATTTTGAGTTTTTCTCCTTTCACCTGACATTTATTGTACTGTTGGCAAAGTTATTGCTGGATTCTAAAGAAATATGGAATTATATGCCTTATATTTGTTGCATCATTATTTTTTTAATTTATAATCACACCAAACCTACATTTGGGTTTGGCAGACAAGACTATTGAGGGTTGGGTGGGGGGGTACATTTTCTTCATTTCTTGCCTGCTGCTGTTCTGCTCAGCTTAACTTTTTTTTTTACTTTTGATCCTGTCACATTTTACTGTTTAAGGAAAATATGCAGTTATTGTGACTATCAACATGGGACAATCAACTGGTTTTCCAAATCACTTCATCTTTTTAGGTTATTGTAAACAATTACTTGATTCCATTCCAGAATAAAAATAGCCCCCCCAAACAAAAGAAAAGATTATAAAAAGTTGCCAGATTTTAAGATTTCTTGTGCACCATTTCTTGTTTACATTTTTTTTTTTTTTTTTCTTCCTTCTTTAGTAAAGTGCCTTTACATTTGACACTTTCATGTGGACCGCCATAGATTTGTCAAACTTTGAGAGTTCAGAATTGGAATTTTTAAGAAAACTGGCCTATGTTAAACTCTGTTCAGGGTGAAATTTCATCTCCTTGATTCCTATACAGCATTTTTAAATTAAGATAACTGCTTTTTGAGAGCAAAGTAAATCATCACAACTTTCAGGGGCTTTTGGTCATTCAAGCTCTCTATACATAAGCAGTCATTTGAAGAGTATTGGCCATCTCTTGATAATTCTATAGTCCACCTTAGTAATAGTCTTCTAAAATAAATTTTGTTTTTATATAAGTTCAGATTTTGAAATTTTTTTTTTTTTATTTCAGGTTATTTTATTTCAACTGGCCTTGTTTTATTACCTACTGCTTGTGTATAGGGAAGTGTAGCACTGGTTAAATCTGGTGCCAACTCCAGTCCTTTGAAAGGCACTCTTTAATGGGCATTCTCTTTAAATGGGTTTTAGTTTCTCTTATGCAGTCAAGTGCCTTTCCTCTTGTAATAAATATTGTAATAGAAAAAAATGTTAAGCTTATCAATTCACTGAATATGACACCCTCCCCTTCCCCCCACCTCTTCATTTTCTTTTTCGACTCCCCATCTTGGTTGTCAAAAATGAAATTGTATTAAACTGAACAATAAAAAAACAATTTGGTTAAAGATGTTTCTTTGGGAATTGTCATCTTGGCTATTGCTACAGGGATTCTTTAAACTGTCCTAACTAGGAGATACAATTGGTAACATCACAGCTGCTTTTCTTTTTTTTTTTTTTCACTTATCAATAAAGGGTAGGGAAGGTAATCAGTGGGGGTGGGGGGCGTTTTGGTTTTGAAATTAACTTAGCAGAATCCTTATCTGCTTAGTTTTTTTTTTTTTTTTTTTTTTAACTATTTAAAAATATTAAGTTCAAAGTTGAGTGAAAAAGATTTGGCCACTAATTTTTATTTTCAATTTTTATTTTTTTTTTTTTTTTCCTATTGTTACTGAAGATAAATTTTAACTGACATGCACATTTTAATTTTGTTCTGTTTATCAAATTTTTATTGCATTTATTTCACATATATAGTCTCATTTAAGTATGTTCTTTTTGGCACAAAAAGATTTTTTATCCTACTTAACAAAATATAGTCAACTGATGTAAAAACAGTTGTAAAATTTATTTTGCATATATATATATATATATATATATATATATATGTATAGTGGGGGGAATACAGAGCTAATATTGAAAATACTTGTAGCTACATTTTTAACAAAGCAACTGAAATTGTCTTAATCCAATTGCCAAAATTTACATTATTTCTCTCAGGTCTACTGTTTTATATATCAAAATTTTTAGGCAATTGCTCTCCAGAACTTTGGCCAATGTTATAATTTTTCCCCTCTCCCACACAAGCATGTTGGCAAATAGAAGACTGTCAGCCTTGTTGTTGACTTGCTGCAATATAATTTAATATAATCAATGACACAAACTACAAAGTACATCTATATAGCACAATTGAAGAGGTTTATTTTGAGTTGATCTGTTGCTGAATTTTCATAAAATATTGATCTACTCAATGGTCAACAGTTTTTTCTTAAATCTAAAACGTTTTGAATTTTTTAATTCCATGAAAAAGTGATAGTTTATACTTAACACTCTAGTTTGATCTTGCCAGATTTTATATATAGGTAAGCAAATCTGTTCAATAGCTATTATATTTGTGGTGCTTGTATGACTCATAAAGCTATTTAAGGATTTTGTGGGGGAACTGAATATTTCAATTTTAAAAAAATATTTAACTTTGAACTGAAATTTAAATTGTGTTGGGACTGCTACTTATTTGATAGTGCTTTTTAAAGATAAACATTAAGAAAGGATAATTTTTGTCTTTAAAACCAACCTGAAAAATTTTGTTAGTTTGCTAACTTTTTTTACATTGTTGAAAATGTTTACTAACATCATGGGACATGCTGCATTTTAAAAGTGGTTCCAATGCCAGAGCAGAATATTAAAAAATCAAATTTAAATTTTCATTTCTAAGTCCTAGAAATTCTGATTTTTATATGAATTTTAAATAGATTTGTATTTATAAACTATTTCTTAAAATTAAGGTCTCAGCTTTAAGTTCTAACTTCCTTGATGTTTGTGGTTATGAATTTATAAACCAACACTGTAAGAGATGGGTCTGTGTATTAGTACACATCAGAAGCTATGGCTTAAAGCTTTTCTAGAAAAGCTTGAAATATTTGTGAAATGTCTTTTAACATGGTTTATCCAAAATTGTTCAGTAGGTGAATTTCTTTTTCCTCAAGATTTCATTTTGTAGAATTGTCTACAAAATTTTATTAATGATGTCACTGTAGACATTGTGAAAGTCAAAATATCTTACATTTGATGCCACTCATGTATTAGACGATTTTTTTTTTAATGTTTCCACTTGGCCAGATGTGCTACTGCTCAGAAACCTTTTCCAATATATAAAGAGAAAAGTTAAATCTCAACAGCAGAAGTGTTCCCCCCCCCTTTTTCACTGGTTGCAACAGATAAAACTTAGTTATCTCTATCAAATCACATAATGGTAAGACATTAGCTAGATGAAGACATCATTGCCACTAATATCTTACCAATATGTGGGAGGTGTTTCTGTTAAGACTTGTGGCTTTATACTCACATTGCAAGAGTGCCCAACATTTCCTGAAAAAATGTTCAGTCATTTATTAAATTAATCTCTTGTATCACAAATGTGAATTATATTCAGCTTTGTATTGAATGAAGTGTAAAATTTCTAGATTTGAAATTTTTTTTTTTTTTTTTTTTTTTTTTTTAGGTGATCATTCACCAACTTTGCTACAATGGGTTAATTGTACATGCACAATGGTGAGATGAAGAATCTGTTGCTATAATAAATTGGAAATGCAAATTATATATTTTATAAACCGAGTTTTTTTTTTTTTTCCTCTAATTTAAAGGTGGGAGGGTAGTAGAACAACTGAAATCGCTATCACATTTCACATAGATTTGTTTTCAAAGTTAGAGGTGAAACTGAAAATTACTTTTTCCCTAAAGTATCTCATGCTAGCTGACCCACTTTCAAATACATGTGGATTTAATTGAACAAATTTCAAAATTATATAAATGTTTAATGTTTTTTGTTTTGTTTTGTTTTTTTTTTTTAATATTAATTTATTTTTTTTAAATATTAATTCTATTAATGGGGTCTCAAACCCAAGACCTAAAAGGATTCAGTCAATAGGTCATCTATTTCCTTAAATTAAAACTCTCTCTAATTTATTTTATCCATAACATTTTCATGGAATTTTTTTTTTTTTTTGACATTTAACATGTTATGCAAAGTGTCGTTTAAGCAGCAGTTTGGGCATATCTTATTTGACCTATAAAATTAACTGTTTCATTAAATGTTTTTCACAAAAATATTTAATGAAATTTATTGACTTAACCTTTATTATCTAAGTAGATGGAAGTACATATAACAGAAAATGCCGAAGTGATAGTTCTTTAAAACAATTTCAATGCAGATGAGAAATACTATTATTTTAAGATAGAGATATATATATGTATATATATGCTGGTAAAGAAATGTCATATTTACATTTGTGAAGACAATCTTTATGTGGTCGCTTCATTTTTGTAAGTGGGCATATTCAAAGATTGCCTTATCCCACCAGCTTTTGCAGGTGTTTGTACTTCTGCCAT